TGCTTGTCCTTTTCTTTCCATCAAGTTTGCCAATACGAACACACACACACTTGATTTAAGATGGTGTGTGCTCAGTCTTCTAGCAGTATGTCCAGTTCTTCTAAAGGCAGTTGCACACTCACTTCTTTCTCTGTCAACAGGTCTACAAACCCCTCAGCTGATCGGGGAACAGCTGAATTGTATGTACCAGTATACATACATACTGATTTAGTTTGCAGAAGAGGTAACTACAGCAGGGTGATAAGTGTAATTGGTTAATTTGGTAAATATGTGCTGAGCAAGGCAGGATATTGATCAAGTGGCACCATCTTTATTTTTTATTTATTTTATTTAACCAGGAAGATTCCAATGAGATTAAAAACCTCTTTTTCTTAAGGGAGACATTTAATGAAATCATCTAACAAATAGTGTTGCCTACTGTGTGATTATTTGTTCTAATGTACCATCAAAGAAGTGTGTTTCAGTAAAAGTTTAAACCCTGTCTCATCCATAGTCTGTTCATCTTTTATATACAGGTTATCTTTTTACTGAATTGTAACCAAAAAAAGATAAGGAGCAGTGGCTATCAGCTACTGATTCTTGATATACTCCTGTTTTCCCTTCACCTCTCTCAGTTGTCCGTCCCTGAGCTTAGTCCTTTCACAGGTTTCTTCCTCTCAACAGTCGCCAAGTGCTACTCACTAGGGATCCTCTCTAACACTGTTGAGATTTATACATATATACATTCAATGGTTGCACCCTTAACGGTTACTGGTATATGTAACATGACCACTTCTGTTTTCTTAAAAGTAAAATCATAGTCCTCAAAACACTAATGTTAAGGTTTCAAAGCCATTTCCTCTTTTTTACAAATCTGAGCACCCCCGTATAAAGTCGGTTGGTTGGTAAAACGAGCTGTTGTTCGTTATTAATTAGCTCAGTTTCTCTCGTATAACCACACCTGATGAGTCTGCAGGGACTCAGCACAAAACTATAAATCGAGTTTTGGGAAATATCACTTTCACAGTATGTGTGTGCCTCACCAGGGGACCAGGGGATATTCTGTAAGGCCTTGTAGAAGATTACTGTGGCTTTATCCACTTTTCCTTCAGATACCTACAAATTCAAACTTACACACTTTACATATACAATGTAATCACTGTGATATTTGTGTATCACAGCCACAGAAGCTGTTCTACACTTCTGTCTCCATGTTCAATATTTGTAAACTGCGGACAATTCAGTCGTTATTCCTGAAATGCACGTATTAATATTCTCCTTCTTCTTTTTTAATGATACTGACGCTTTCAGAGGCATCATTTCTTTTTCTTATTTAAGCAAGATCAGGTCTACTTTCTTCCTAACAGGTTTAGTGCTCCAGGGCAGAAAACAGCATCAACGTGAGTTTGTATGACCGGTCTCAACTATAAGGTGGATGTACATCCTCCAAAGTAAAGGGCAACGTTTCTGTTGCTATGGCATTTTCAAAAAGTCCACAGACGCAGTTGCTGAGGCCATTCTCCGGCCGGACAGATAAGGGATCATCACGGAAACGTGATCTATAAATACTGCAGACATGTACAGTAAGTGCTAAGTATCGTTTGATAATGTGCAACTCTGTTTCTATGAAAGCTGTATTAAGTAAAACTAAAAGCAAGACTGAAAATCACTTAAATCTGCATTTAAACAACATTAAACACTGGGACTTTTTGAGATGCTCATCTTTCATCATGCTACTAAATCTTATTTGTGTTGTGATGTTCCATCAGATGTATTTATTTAATGCTTTTGAGCATTAAACAAC